AAAAAAAAAAAAAAAAGAAGAAGAGAGGTTGCGGAGAGGGGGGTTGGGAGGCAGGGGTGACTTCTTGGTTTGTTTTCTCTCCCTCCCTCCCCCCCTCTTTTTGATCTCTCTTGTTGGGTGAATTCTTCCTCTCTCATGGTACTTGATCTCAGTCCATCTCCATCTCATGGGACCATATTCAATCCTTGGTCGTCATTGGTCAGGGTTTGGCTTGGTTTGATGATGATCTTTACGTTTACATTAGAATTTTCTTTCAACTACTGTGCTCCTCTATGCTTTGTGTTTGTGTTAACTACTGGAATTAAGGGGAAGCTCGTCGTAATTACAACTGAACTACTAAATTTTCTTGCCCTGTTATCAATCTCTTTGCCGTATTGATATCTCCGCTACTCCTCACCGTGTAGAATGATTGAAGTTGGGATAATTGAGGAGTTTCGTGAGGCAGAAAAAAATAAAAATAAAAAAAAATTCTGCACACAAACGGGGTTAATCCTTCCTCACTGGGGAAGCAATCAATGCCCCGCGACTAGGCTATATTCGTGTTTTGCAGGGAAGCTGTCTCCAGGGGAGCAGTGACTGAGGCTCTTCCAGCCCTAATGGGAAGAGGAGTGCATATAAGTGTTGTAATCAATTTCATAATTGAAGCCTTGGGCACTGGGCCCTTTTGTTAAAAAAAAAAAGAAAAAAAATGTGTGTTGGTACTGTCTTTGGGCTTGACCCGTGATGTGTCGCCCTTAAACAGGACCACGGAGCTTTTGTGAGCGACACCAGGCCTGATTCCTGGCATTGTAATATAAGAGCCGCCTGACCCAGCTCCTGGTTTAAAAAGGGGAAAAAAAAAAGCTCTCTTTCTTTTCATCTTGGTGGGGTATTTTTTGCACCAGGTCTATGTGGAGAGTAGCCGAGCGTATGTCTGTCTACTTGTGGGCCACTCTCCACTAGGCAATATTTTAGCATGATAGTATAAATGTATCGGGACTGTATTGTAGCCTCTAGGGGACACATTTGGACTGGTTCAGCATTTAGAATGACCAGGTCTAGTTTATGGACCACAGACATTTGCAATTTTGCAATGGAATGTTTGGCAGTGGAAGGAGGCCCAGGCCTGTGTCTGTGTGCGCATCATGGCACGTCAAACCACTACTGTCTTCACCCAAATAGAACGCCCGCCGGCGGCGGTCATTATAGCTGTATTTGGCGCAGAATTCAGTCCAGATGCAGCGATAATGACGGGGCGCACGGTAGGTAGTACACAGCCGGCCTTGCAGTCCGAAAGTTGTCGCCACAAGAAAACGTGGGCGAAACGTCAAATGCCGGGCCCGCCGTTGATATATATTTATTTTTTCATTTTTTCTTAGCCCTTCGGTGGAGCGAAGGGCCGTGAAAAATGGTTGTAAGCTGCTCAGTGTGCTCAGCCCATGGTATTCTTGAGTAACAGGAGAAAGAATAGTACGCCATATGAGCTGGACACACAGCTGAATACCGTTGATAAATTGGATAGGCGGTTGCGTTCTTCTTTCGTGCTTCCAAAATTTAAGGTGTCAGGCCCGCGACCCAGGTGCCCATGTACTGGTGCTTTAAACCACCAGTACTTGGCCCAGCTATCGATGCCGAGCCGGCCGACCCCTGCACGCCAAGTTTTGCCGAACTGGCAGGGCGTCGTTTCAATTTTTTTTGGCTGGCGCCTCCAGCCATTGTGGTCCAGTACCCCGAAGCCCTGCAGACGCGGCCCGTTAACGGGGAAGCGCCGCGGCCGATAGCTTGGCCAAGCACTGGTGGTTTAAGGGCCAGATCCCACTGGCAAGGACGATTGGAATAAGTGTCGGAATCTGGACGTGCCAGGTGTGTGACTGACTGAGAGCGCCTGGCCGTCCACTTTTTGCCCCCTATGGGGCAAATGCATGCATGTCAAAGGTATCGTCTAGGGGGGATGTATAACTTTTCCCACCAAATGTACACAAAATGCAAACGAGTCTTACGCTAGAACATGGAAAGGTGCATCGCCATCAATTTTTTATTTATTTTTTAAATATTATTTATTATTTTTTTTGCAAGAATATCCCGCCCTTGTGTAAACCCTATAATATCCCGGAGGTGGTAAGAGAACAGTCAGGATTGCGGGTTCTCTGTCGGGCTGCTGCATCTATTGGTGGGGAGCGGCACCTGCTGAAAACCGGGTCCAGCATCCCGTGGATACATCTTATCACTCAAAGATTGGTGTTTGTTGTTTTCCTGGGGCTGTGGGCTTTTCACTTCTCAGACCCGGGTCTCCTTCATCCAATAATGCTGCTAGTGACACCCTTCCCCTCTTAGAGCACCCCTTATCTATTAGCCCCTTCCACTCTTAGAGTACCCCTTATATATTAGCCCTTGTCCTGTGTGAATTTGGTAAGTTGTGCAGCGTGGCTCAAAGGTTCTCCAAAATCCTTGTATCATACCCACTCCCTCCACTCCACGACATTTTTTTTGTTTTTTTTCAAACTCCGTATATAGGAAACCTACTTAACGGCTAGGGGACAGCCGGTAGCATCAGGACCCATGCCTACAGGACCAATCCCTGTAGCCGGTATCGCCCACCTGCAGGTCGGGAGCAGCCCCCGCATGTTCTCTCGTGAACACTGTTCTGGCTGCTACGGGGTTCCCCGTATGCCTACAATTAGGAGTAGTGGTCGGTAGGTAGGTAGTGTGAGAAACTACTTACTTATCACCCCCGTTAAGTAGGCTCCAGCGTCGAAGGCTCCATGTATTGGTGGGGAGCTACACCTGCTGGAAATCGAGTCCAGCGTCCCTGAAACGGTTTGCACCTTTCTGCAGTCACAGATGCGGGCACTAGAGTTCGATCCCCAGACCTTACCTTGCCCATGTACAGTATCGAGTTGGACCCCGAGTGTTTGAACCCGTGTGTTTTGGTAGTTGGTGGTTCTGTTGTAGGTCTGTGTAGTTGTAGGGGTTCGATCTGTAGGTCTGTCGAGTAGGGGTCACAGCGCTGTAGAGGTCATAACTGTAGATGTTCTGAGAGGTCGAGGTCGTAGGTGCTACAGTCCTGAAACGTCAAGGCCATAGCTGCTACAGTACTCGAAAGGCCAAGT